CGAAAAAGGAGCTGCGGTGTAACGGGAAGCGCCCCAGCGAGGCGAACATGCTCAAGCGGCTCGGGGCCGTGAAGAAGCGCTTGAAGAAGGCGGCGGTCAGTTGGCGGCCGGCCGCTGGCGGCGCATCTCGGCGGCGCTGCGGCGCGGCATGGCGACGTTGAAACTCGGCCACGCCGTGCTGGGCATGCGCCGGGCGCAGTTCGCCAAGAATGAGGCACCGCGGATCGCCGCCGTCTGGCTGCGGGCGGCCGCGACGCAGGTCGCCGACTCGCGGCGGCGACGCGCCAAAAAAGCAGAGATCGAGGCGGCGCGGGCCGCGGCGCCCGTGGGGCAGCGCACGCGACACGTCGAGCCGCTGCCGCCGACGTTCGCCGTCAAGGTGCCCATCCGAGGGCTCGTCAAAGGGGTTTGGCGGGACGGCACCGCGACGGTGCTCACGGCGTCGTTCGCCTACGACCGCGACGACGGGGAGCGGAAGGAGGCGCCGCTGCTCAACGCTGAGGAGATGATGCCCATCGTCGTCGACGAGCCGCCGGACGGCGCCGACGACGACGACGACGACGTCGAGGAGGAGTCGGTGCCCGTCCGCGTCCGGGCGACGGAGGCGTCCTTCGAGGTCGTCGACGTCCGCCCGGCGGCCGCGGCGGACGCGTTTAAGCGCATGGCCGCCAAGCTGCGAGCGTCGCGGCCGAAGCCGGCGACGGTGCTCGAGGACGCCGGCCTCGAGGCGCCGCCCTACATCGCGCTGCGATCGCGAGGCAGCCCGAAGACGCCGTCGCTCTTCCGGTCCGACGAGGACCTGTCCTTTTCGGCGTCCGAGTGTGTCTTTTTGGTTCGATGCGATAGAGAGTATTCTGCTGATACGCCGCAAACATGCCTCCGCAGGCCGACGTTCCGCACGAACTGCACGGGCAACGTGTGCAGCGTGCAGCACAAGGAGGACGTGAAGCTCGTGCGGAGCGGCGTGTCGCTCCGGGATTGCAACATCGGCATCCCCGGCGTCGCGGCGCTCCTCGACCTCCCGGCGGCGGCGGCGACGGTGCTCGAGGAGGAGCTCAAACCTACGGAGGCCGGCAAGATCTTGGCGGACATGCTGCCGCCGAAGGTGCTGCCCTGCGTCGTCGGCCACCTCATCGAAAAGGGGGCGATTCCCAAAACCTGCGCCGTCGCCGCCTTTGGGGGAAGCGTCGGCGGCGGCACGGCGCAGGTGCCGGGGCAGGACAAGAGTGCGAAATTCCCAACTTCAAAGGCTCCGATCTCGGCCGTTTTCCACTCGTTTCGGCTGATTTTTGGACGAGCGATCATCTCTCGGAACGGTCTCGAAGCGTGGATGTTTTTTCCGGAACGCGCGCGCGCGGAACACTCACGTTGAAGCGACGTTGAATCACCATTTTGCTGCCCAGGTCGTCGCCGTTCAGCGGAAAGGTCATCAATAAGGATATTGATGAGGAACGACTAGAAATCTACTCAAAAATTTTCAAACAACCAAAACCAAAACAAACCTACGACTTCGACTGCGGCGAGCTGCGTGCAAATCGACCACTGGTTTGGACTTCGTCACTCTCTAGCTCGGTCAAATCGAAGTCGATTCGGCTGATTTTTGGACGAGTCGTTTTCTCTCGTCGAGTTCTCCACGGAGCGCACGAGAATTCGCGTCGAGACGGCTAAATACGCGCACATCGCAGTCGGGCTGAACGTTTGATTCCCACACAGGCGGCAAGGATGTCGTGGACAGCGTCGACGACGCCTACGACGAGTCGAAGGGCAGGCCGACGTTCGGCGTCGTGACCAACTCGTGCGAGCCGTGGACGACGTGCTCGGAGTTCTACAAGGACGTGCCGCTGGCGCTGCGGCCGGGCGTGTGGCACACGCCCGCAATCATCCAGAGGCTCATCAGCAGGGACAGCAAGGGCAAGCTCGCGGGCGGCCTCATCGAGAACTCGCCGGAGTTCGCCCCAGTGTTTTTGTTTGAAACACAAAATGATCCTCATGCGTCGCAGGTTCCTCCGCCACAAGGAGCTCCACTCGCCCTGGTGGTGGACGAAGAAGATGCTGATGGAGGCGGGGTTTCACGTCCTCGCCTTCGCCCCCCTGCCCATGCAGGACGTCGGCTACAGCAACAAGCGGAAGCGCGCGATCGTCGTCTTCTACCGCGCGGCCCCGGGCGTCACGCCCGAGATCACCTACTTATAAGCCGGGCTAGTAGTCTGGAGGGGGTGGTCTGAGGGCCTTGCCCGCGCCGACGTCGTCGAGCCGGGCGTCGAGTCGAAGACGACGCCGCCGCCGTAGAGGCGGCTCAACGTCGTCGTCGCGTCGTCGGCGGCGCCCGCGACGGCCACGGCGACGGATCCCGCCCTCGGGCCGACGTAGGCGCCGCCGACGAAGCGCCGGGCCTGCTCCGCGCCGACGTCGTCGAGCCGGGCGTCGAGTCGAAGACGACGCCGCCGCCGTAGAGGCGGCTCAACGTCGCCACGGCCTCGCTCCTCGGCACCGGGACGGCCACGCCGGCGGATCCCGCCCTCGGGCCGACGTAGGCGCCGCCGACGAAGCGCCGGGCCTGCTCCGCGCCGGCGTCGTCGAGCCGGGCGTCGAGTCGAAGACGACGCCGCCGCCGTAGAGGCGGCTCAACGTCGTCGTCGCGTCGCCGGCGGCGCCCGCGACGGCCACGGCGACGGATCCCGCCCTCGGGCCGACGTAGGCGCCGCCGACGAAGCGCCGGGCCTGCTCCGCGCCGGCGTCGTCGAGCCGGGCGTCGAGTCGAAGACGACGCCGCCGCCGTAGAGGCGGCTCAACGTCGCCACGGCCTCGCTCCTCGGCACCGGGACGGCCACGCCGGCGGATCCCGCCCTCGGGCCGACGTAGGCGCCGCCGACGAAGCGCCGGGCCTGCTCCGCGCCGACGTCCAGCTCCCATAAACAGAAGCAACATCGTCGGAAATCCGGAAAGGTACTTTTACGGTGGTTGGGACGTCGGGGGCGCCTGGTTGTGCCCCAGCGACGCACGGCCGAAGCGAGAGGCGTCGATTGACGTCATTCGGACGTCGTACTGTCTCGGTTTCGAGAAACCGAGACCGTAGGGAGTCGGCGGCCTCGCGCTCCGTGAGCTCCACGAGCTGGTCGCCGACCTTCTGGGCCGGCAGGGCCTCGCGGTGGTCGCCGCCGGGCAGCCGCGCACGCTCGAGGAGGTACTCCCCGTGCTCGACCTTGCCCTTGGTGTACCAGCCGATGACGTCGTCGGACATCGTGTTCCAGTAGAGCGCGTCGGGCTTCCGGCCCGACGCGGAGAGCCCGAACCAGACGGCGACGTCCTGGGACCAGACCTGCTCCTCCTTGCCGTCCTTGGTCGTGAACGTGCGCCAGTGGGGGTTCGACCCCACGACGCAGACGCAGTTGCTCATGGTCTCCGGCCGGCCGCACCTGGGCGTCGCCACGCGGTCCAGCGACATCGCCGCGGCGAAGTCCACGATCCGGCGCATCTGGTTCGGCTTCATGTGGTGCTCCGCCAGCTTGCGGCCCTGCTTGTTCCAGTCGTCGCGGCGCTGGTGCGGCGCCCAGGCGACGACGGCGGCGATGAACATGTCCATCATCTCGCCCCTAGTTCCACACGTCGTCGCGGCCGGCTGCCCTTGGGGCTGGCGAAGAGCGGCACGCCGCCACGACACCACGGAGCGGCGAGCGGCGACGGGGCTGCGACGTGGCGCGGCTGTAGATGCTGCCAGCCTGGGCAGCTCGACCATGACAGCCTTCGTTCTTCAACGTCACTGTGAAGAAATTTTGCGTTAGGTGAGTTGGACGTTGTCGTTGGCCAAGCACGATGTGGCTCCGCATGCTCCCCGTCGTCGCGCTGGGCGCGAGCCTGAACATTTCAGACATCGTCACATTCTCATCACGAGACTTTACGACGCAAACGACGGCGACGAGCGCGGCGAACGAGACCGCCGCGTTCCTATTGAACGGCGGCGGCGGCGGCGGCGGCGCGGCCGGCGGCGGCTTCGGCGGCGGCATGGGCGACGGGCCGCCCGACGGCCCCGGCCGCGGCGGCGGCGCCCGGCGGAGCGACGACATCCTCGTCTTCGGCATGAATTTCGAGATCGGCGAGGTCGCGCGCGGCGTGCTCCCCGGCGTGTACCGCGTCGCCCTCCGCGGCGCGCGCGGCGTGCGCGGCGTGCGCCGCGTCAGGCTCCGCGGCTCCCGCCGCCGCGCGCGCCACCTCATGCGCGGCAGCCGGCGACGCCCGGACAGCCCGGACCGCGCGGCGGCCGGCGACGCCCAGACCGCCGGCGTCGCCCGGCGGCTTGCTGGCGGCGCTGCGCACTACGCTGCGCACTACGCCGCCGCCGCGCGCCGCGCCGCCGCTGGCCTCCTCCGCCTCGCGGGCCGGATGTGCAAGCGGCGCGGCGCGGCCGACGCGACGCTCGCCGTCGGCGTCGGCGGGCCCTCGGCGCCCGACGCGCAGGCGACGACGACGGCGGCCAAGGCCAAGGCCGCGAAGAAGAAGCGCGCGGGCCCGTTCATCGCCAAGGCCAAGGCCGCGAAGAAGAAGAAGAAGAAGCGCGGCGGCACGTGCCCCGCGGCGACGACGACGACGGCGGAGGTCAACGGCCGCGACGTCGGCGTCTACGAGGAGGCGGGCGTCGAGGGCGCGAAGGCGCGGATCGCGGAGTTCATGGAGAATTTGGACGATAGATTCATCTCGCTCTACGGCGGCGGCTCGGGGCGGAACCTCGACGGCGCGCTCGACCGAATGTGGAGCCACACACGCATCCTGAACAACGTCGGTTGGTTGGGCCTCGCGGACGCCGACGGCAACGTCAACTCCGTGCTCATCAAGGTCACGGGGCTCCACAACGGCGACGCGAACGGCAAGGCGACGGCCGAGGCCACAGAGGCCATCCTGCTCGACCACGCGCTGACGTTCTCGGGCCTCTCGCCCGCCAACGTCAACAAGGCCGGCGCCAACGTGTTCATCGACAAGGACGGGAGCATGTGGTTTTATCTCTGCGCGGCGACGGTGCCGGCGCGCGGGAAGCGGGACCTCGCGGAGCTGGCGAGGCGTGCGGGGAAGAAACCCCCCAGCAAATGGGTGCTCAAAACCGACAAGCGGAGCCGGGGCGTCTGCAAGCGGAGCCGGGGCGTCGACGCGGCGAGCCGAGGCGTCGCGAAGAAGGTGAGCTCCACGTGGACGCAGGCCATGGACGACGCGATCGTGTCGCTGGTCGAGAGCAGCGGCGGCGTCGACGGCGTTTCTTCGGCGGACTGGAAGTCGCTCGCGACGAGGCTGGGCAAGGTCAAGGTCGATTCCTTCGGCAAGCGACGGTACAACACGTGCAGGCTAAGGTACGTCGAGCACCTGGACCCGACGCGCATCACGGGCTCGTTTAGCGTCACGGAGATGCGGGTGGTCTACGAAGGTCTGATTGCGGGGGACACGAACGCCGAAATCGCGGCGCACCTGCCCGGGCGCGAAAGGAAACAGGTGGATCGACACATTTGGAGTCGCGGCCTTCGTGCCCTGTCGCCCGCGGCTTTAGCCGCGGGCTTGGCGCGGGCGACGTCGGAGGCGCCGCGCTTCCCGCCACCCGACGACGGCGACGAGATCCACATTTGCTGGCGCAACGCGGCGGGCGGGTCCGTGGGCGGCGGATACTGGCGGGCCGTCGTGGCGACGCACCCCGTGTCCGGCCAGCGCGTCGTCTACGGCCGCGACCGCGACGCCGGCTGGTGGGACGAGCCCGTGCCCTTCGACATCGACGCCGACGACTGGAGGCCGGCGACGCCCGCGCCCGTCGAGACGCCGCCGTCGACGACGCCCGCGCCCGTCGAGACGCCGCCGTCGACGACGCCCGCGCCCGTCGAGACGACGCCCGCGCCCGTCGAGACGACGCCCGCGCCCGTCGAGACGACGCCGTCGACGACGACCGCGCCCGTCGAGACGCCCGCCGGCGGATGGACCGCGGCGGCCGTGGCAGCGGTTTTCCAGGGCATGGATTTCTGCGTGACGGGCAACTTCTACGGCCTCAAGCAGGACGCGGTCGAGGCCTTCTGCGAGGGGTTCGGAGGGTTCAAGGTCACACGGGTGGACCGGCCCGGAGCCGTCTTGATCCGCGGGCTCAAGAAGGGCACGACCGAGCCCATCAAGAGCAACAAGGTCGACGTCGCGCTCGCCGCCGGCGCGACCATCGTCGAAGCGGGCGTGTTCGGGGACATGGTCGCGGCGACGACGGCGACGACGGCGCGGTCCACGTCCCCGACGCCGACGGCGGCGGATTCGGCGACGACGCATCCCGCAGCGGCTCGAGCTTCGACGTCGGCGACTGCGACGGCTCCGCCCGCGGCGACGGCTCCGAAGGCGCGACCTTCGACGAGGCTACGGCGCGCGGCGTCGCGACCTTCGACGAAGCGGCGCGCGGCGTCCAAGTTCAAGGCCTCCAAGGGCCCGGCGAAGGCCAAGGGCCCGGCCCTAGCCAAGGCCAAGTCCGTGTCGCCGTCCTCGCGCGGCACAACGGCGGTCTCTGCGACGGCACCTTCGTCACAGCCACTCTCGGGAATCACGTGTGTCCTGACGGGTGTCTTCCCGGAGGTCGGCGGCGGCGCGGACCTCAACCTCGGCAAGGACGGCGTCCGCGCGATGGTCGAGTCCTTCGGGGGCCGCGTCACGGGCGCCGTGTCCGGCAAGACGGACATCCTCATCGTCGGCAAGGAGCCCGGCATGTCCAAGGTGAGCAAGGCGCGCGCGGCGAACGTCACGCTCATGACGCTCCACGACCTCAAGCTCGGCATCGCGCACGGTGACGTCCTGGCCGCGGCCCAGCCCGTCGTCATCAAGGTCTTCAGCGCGGGCTACGGCGGCAACGGCCTGGCACTGGGCGCGTCCGACGCGGAGTACGCCTTCGCAGCCGGCGTCGCCCAGCAGCCCACCGTGACGCGCCAGCGCGCGCCCAAGGCCTCCCGGGCTTCCAAGACGAAGCGCGCGGCGGCAAAGAAGAAGAAAGTGCACAAACTCTAAAAGTAAGCCGCTCCTCCGAATTACGGGGTCCCACGACATCCACGGCCTAGGCTCAAGTGACGCTCTCCCGTCACTGAGACCCCGGCCAGGAGCGTGGATCGTAGGGTCCGAGGGCGCGCCGTTCGTGCCCTACCGCGACTCGAGTTGACGCGTTGACGCGCCTCCTAAACGAGAAGCGCGGCGTCACGCATGATGCCCTACTCCTTAGTGCTCCTCTGCGCGACGGCGGCGTCGCTGGCGCCCACTCAGAGCCGAGCGCCCGCGCCCGGGCCGTCCGTCGCGCGGCGCGGCGCCCTGGCCGGTGGCGCGTCGTTGGTCGCCGCCGG